TACTACTACTACTACTACTGCCTACTACTACTACTACTACTACTACTACTACTGCTGCTGCTACTGCTACTACTACTACTACTACTACTACTACTACTTTTACCAGTAGTAGTAGTAGTACTACTACTACTACTACTACTACTACTACTACTACTTCACTACTACTACTACTACTACTACTACTACTACTACTAGGGCTGACCGGGGGATGGTGGCCGGGCAGTTCCTCCGTGAGACGACTTAACGGTGGTGATGGAGGTTTCGCGCTTCCAACGGGTTTAACAAAAAAATGAGATTGTGAGTGTGGATGTGGATGTGGGTGTTTCATGTATGTATGATGATGTATGATGATGTATGGTGATGTATGATGATGTATGATGATGTATGATGGTGTATGATGATGTATGATGGTGTAAAATGATGAATGATTTTGTCTGGTGGTGTACGATGGTGTATGATGATGTATGATGGTGTAAGATGATGAATGATTTTGTCTGGTGGTGTGCGATGATGAATGATGATGAATGATGGTGTATGATGATTGATGTATGGTGTTTGATTATGTAAGATGTATTGTGCTTAACAATGTATAATGTTTGATGTTTAATGTTTGATATAGAATGATGCGTGATGTTTGATTTTTGAATTTTATGTTAAATGATGCTGAATGTTGGTTGGTGTTTGATGTATGGTGTTTGATGATGTGTGGTGTTTGCTGTATCATGTTTGATGTTTGATGCTTGATGCTGTTTGATGTATATTTGATGATGTTTGATATTTGATGTTTGTTGATGTTTGATGTTTGATGGTTGATTTTTGTTGATGTTTGATAATGGTGGGTGTTTTATGTTTAATGATGCTTGGTGTTTGATGTGCAATGTTTGATGTTTGATGGTTGATGATGTATGATGTTTGATGCTTGATGATGTCTGATGTTGATGATGTATGATATTTGCTGTTTGATGTATGATGTTTGATGATGTATGATGTTTGCTGTGTGTTGTATGATGTTTGATGATGTGAGATGTATTACGATGCATGAGGTTTGATGGTGTATGATAATGATTGTTGTGCGGTGTTTGATAGCCTAGTATGATGTATGGTGTTTGATGATGTATTATGTTGTGTTGTGTTTGGTGGCGTATTATGATGTATGGTGTATGGTGCACGATAATGTATGATGATGTATTATGATGTATGATGTGTGCTGGTGTATTATGATGTATGGTGTGGGATGCTTGATGATGTGTGATGATGTATGATGTATGATGTTTGATGATGTATGATGTTTGATGACGTATGATGTTTGGTGGCGTATGATCATCAACATCATCAACCTCATCATTATCATCATCGTCATCGTTGCCATCATCACCATCACCATCATCATCGTCGGTGTAAATTGTCGCCGTCGTCACCGTCCACAGCCATCATCACCATCATCATCAGCATTATCACCATGCTCATCATCCACATCATCACCACCACTGCCACCGACACCATCATCGTCGTCATCATCACCAGCGGCAACATCGGCATCACAGTCCTCATCCTCATCAGCACCAACATCAGCATCAACATCACCACCAGCATGATCATCATCATGGTCAGCATCACCACCATCATCATCATCGTCGTCGTCGTCGTCGTCCTCGTCATCCTCACCATCATCAGCATGACAATCCTCATCATCATACTCACCAGCAGCATCAGAAGCATCATCATCACCATCAGCAGCAGCATCAGCATCAGCATCAGCATCAACATCATCATCATCATCACGCCCTCGTCCCGTTCGACCGCCTCAATCATAACCGTCACGCCCTCGTCGTCAGGCCCTCAGGAGGCTTCCCAGGAGGCCCTAGAGGCCTGTCAGGAGGCCCAAGAGGCCTCCCAGGAGGCCCAAGAGGCCTCCCAGGAGGCCCGAGAGGCCTCTCAGGAGGCCAAAGAGGCCCCTCAGGATGCCCAGGGGCCTCTCGGGAGGCTCAAGAAACCTCACGGGAGGCCCAAGAGGCCTCTGAGGAGGCCCCAGAAGCTTGTCAGGAGGCCCCAGAGGCCTTTCAGGAGGCCCAAGAGGCTTCTCTGGAGGCCCAAGAAGCCTCTCAGGAAGCCTAAGAGGCTTCTCAGGAGGCCAAAGAGGCCTCCCAGGAGGCCCAAGAGGCCTCACAGGAGGCCCAAGAAGCCTCTCAGGAAGCCCAAGAGGCCTCTCAGGAGGCCCAAGAGGCGTCCCAGGAGGCCCAATAAGTCTCTCTGGAGGCCCAAGAGGCCTTCCAGAAGGCCCAAGAGGCCTCCCAGGAGGCCCAAGAGGCCTCCCAGGAGGCCCAAGAGGCACCCCAGGAGGCCCCCCACGAGCCCCAAGAGGCGCCTCAGGAGGCCCAAGAGGCCTCTGAGGAGGCCCCAGAGGCCTCCCAGGAGGCCCAAGAGGCATCTCAGGAGGCCCAAGGGGCTTCCCAGAAGCCCCAAGAGGCCTCTCAGAAAGCTAAAGAGTCCTCCCAGGAGGCCCAATAGGCCTCCCAGGAGGCCCAATAGGCCCCCCAGGAAGCCCCAGAGGCCTCCCAGGAGGCCCAAGAGGCACCCCAGGAGGTTTCTCAGGAGGCCCCAGAGGCCTCTCGAGAGGCCCAAGAGGCCTCGCAGGAGGCCCAAGGAGCCCCCCAGGATACCCAAGAGGCCCCTGAGGAAGCCTAAGGCGGCTTCCCAGGAGGCCCCGCACGCCCCGCGCGCCTCGCGCGCCACGCGCACCGCGCGCGCCACGCGCGCCCCGCGCGCCCCGCGCGCCGCGCGCGCCACGCGCGCCACGCGCGCCGCGCGCGCCACGCGCGCCCCGCGCGCCTCGCGAGCCCCGCGCGCGCCGCGCGCCCCGCGCGTCCCGCGTGCCCCGCGCGCCCCGTGCGCCGCGCGCGCGCCCCGCGCGCCCCCCCCGCGCGCCCCCCCCACGCCGCCCCGGCCACCATCCCCCGGTTAGCCTACTACTACTACTACTACTACTACTACTACTACTACTACTACTACTACTACTACTATTGCTACGACTACATCTACTACGATTACTAATCCGACTACTACTCCTACTACTACTACTACTACTACGGCGACTACTACTACTACCACTACCACTACACCTACTAGTACTACTATTCGATTACTGCTACGACTACATCTACTAATACTGTTACTGCTGCTACTATCACTCCGCCTACTGTTACTACTACTACGACTCTACCACAGGCAGGACGTGGCAGAAGGGATGATGGGGAGGTGTTCCTCCTCTTCCTCCTCCTCCTCATTCTCTTCCTCCGTCTCCTCCTTCTCCTCCTCCTCCCCCTCCTCCTCCTCCTCCTCATCCTCCTTCCTATCCTACCTGTGATAGAGGTGGTGGAAAATCGTCCCAGCATAAGCGTTTGACGGTCCGCGCGGATTTATTGGATCCGCGCTGGGCCCCCCCAGCGGCTCAGGCGAGGTGCGAGCAGCCCGCCAACACCGATCAACATGTGGCTTCTTGGAGGTCTGTAGCCACTCAAGCTCAGGGCGGCATATCAGAGGCTCACGCGCCAGCTTGTGCCCACGGCCGCGGCTTTTCTGGTGAAACCGAAGGTTGCCCTGTCCTCGAGCTCGGCCCGTCCGCAAAGCCATGCCCGCGGACGTTAGCCACCCCCAGCTGACCCGGCTCCCCTGCGAGAGCGGGCCTTCCGACCAGGATCGGCGGCAAGCGGAAGGGGAAATGAGAAGGAGAAGGGTCTTCTCAGAAGGCGGCGGGGCTTTTCGGAAGCCCTCAAGCCTTCTGAGAGGCCTTCTGTGTCTTCGGGGAAGGCTTACTCGGAAGGCCCGTTCCCGAGCCTTCTGAGAAGGCCTTCTCCTTCTCCAGTAGGGGATCGACTGCAGAATGGATGCACCCCAAAATAAATTTGCTTGTCGAATCCACGGACAAAAAAGGAACAAATCGTGCTCGATCTATCCACGGAGCACTTCACGCACTTTCCGCAGACTCGAAGGGCGAAAACAATCCTGGGAGAAATCAATTCTGTACAGTCGGCCCGGATAAGTGGCTCGACCCTGCCAGCTCAAGGGTACCCTTGTGTCCTGTGCCTCGCGACACGTGCCTTCTTACGCTTCTGTGGCGATGTAGCCCTCGGAGGGGTCTGGTGTCCCGTCTTGCGTCCTGTCCACTCAAGGCCGACTGTAGTCGATCCCCTACTCGATCCTCACCTCCCCTCCCCGGCTCGCCGCCGCCAGTCGGGCCAGACGAAAGGGGGGGATTGGGAAAGGGGGGTTACGAAATTTGCTGCATGCAGCTGGTTTCGGCCTCACCGAGGGGCCCATTCCTCGATACATAGTCGCCTCCGGCGCCGGGAGGCGCTGGGAAAATCAGCTACGTGAGCTGATTCTCAAACCCCCCTTTGCTATCCCCCCTTTCGCCCGACCCGAGACAGGAGGAGGGCGCCGCTGCCGGCGGCGCCGCCGCGCGCGCGCCCGCGGCGCGGGCGGCGGCCCCGCTGGCGGCGGTCGCGGCGGCGCTGCTGCTGCTGGTGGTGGTGGCCGGGCGCCCCGCGGGGGCCTGGGCCGGCGCCAGGATCGGCGACCAAAATTAAGGCGGGTCTATCCCTCACCACCCACCAAACGACCCCAACCCAACCCGAAGGCCTTAATTTTTCTTTCCATTTCCAGTGGGGGGGTGTCGGGGAACATTGAAAAAACACATGGAACCCGTACCTCCCCCAACCCGAAATTCGGGTCAAATTCGGGTCTTCGGGTTGGGTTGGGGTGGTCAGGTAGGTAGTCAGTCCTTCCACAGGTGAAATATTCAAAAATGGTCAAGAAATAGTCAGGGGGCTATTTTTGGTTGATTTTTGAACATTTGGGGAGCAGTTTTCTAGTATTTTAAATTCGTCGCCAAAAATGCCCCTGTAGGGGGACAGGCCCGACCTAAAACGAAATCGGCGGCGAGCGAGGGGGGGAATCGAGGAGGGGCGGGCCTTCTCAGAAGGCTTCCAAGTCCCCCAGCCTTCTGAGAAGTTTTCGAAGACCTCCCGTCCCCGAAAACGCGTAATACGTCTCAGAAGGCGCAAGGGCCTCTGAGAAGTCCCGCCGCCTTTTGAGAAGGCCTTCTTCTTCTTCTTCTTCTTCTTCTCGCTGCCAACTACACTTCGGCGTCGCGTACTCGAAGAAGAAACACAGCATAAACATAAACTTTTGGAGTGCCGCGCGGATTTCTTGGATCCGCTCTAGCGCTAGGGCCCCCTGGCGGCGCCTCCGGCGCCCCCTCCCGCGCCAGGGAGGGGATTCTAGCCCAGATCCAAGAACTTCACGCGGACCTTCAAAAGTTTCTGTTTCGGTTGTTTTTCTTCCTCTACCACCGGGGTTGTAGATAAATGGGGGGGCAGAGAGGGCTGCAGAAAAGGGGCTCTTCTGGGGCCCCTTACGGGGCCCTAGACGGGCCAAAAAGGTGGCTTCTGGGGCCCGAGGAGTGAGTGCACCTTTTCTTCCCCCCCCTCGCTCGCCCCCCCATGAAGCGACGTCCGATATACAGGGTATGATTACGCCGGGGGGGGGGGGGGATTGCGACCGGCACCGTTGGGGCCTGTGGAGCACGACGCTGTCCTCGTCGGGCCTCCTCTCGGAGCGCAGCGGAGAACTCTATCGAGGCCCCCGGTTGCAAACCACACCCGTTGCAAACCATACCCTCCGGAGTTGCCGACAGGAGCAAGGGAATTGTCTCCATGTCGTCTACGGGCGAGTGCATTCTCTATGGGTACTCTATGCTCGAGCCCTACGGCACCTCGCAGGCCGAGCTTTTCGAAGCCGAACCCGGGTGGGTCTGGCTGACCAACAGCAGCACCGTCGCCGTGCAGGGACTTCTCGGCGAGTTGGATCCCCCGAAGACAGGCGAAGCGTTGGTCCTGAAAGAGATCACCATCGGTGGCCCCAGCCTGTACGGAGGCGTGGTGCACATCGCGGCCCACGAGACCACATGGTATCCCCCAAGCGGTGAGAGAGTTATCATCCTCGCCGAGGACATGTCGCTGTGGTCGTTGCCAGGCGTCCTCGAAACGTCGGTGGATCACAATGGGGAATCGGTCCAGCCGGATCGCGCGGATCTCCCGATGCATGTGGTGCATGCGAAGCTTGGGGGCTTCGAAATGGAGGTCGATCGGTGGAACGACGTCGGCGCCACCGAAAAGTTCATGAATGTCAAGATCGTCAAGCCCGTGGAGAGCTCAGAGACAGGCCTGTGCCCGAATTCCGAAGGAATAGCGGTACCAGATGCCGAAGTGTTCGCCGTCCATCATAGCCCATCACCAACGGGCGATACTTCGGCAGGCGCACAGGCCTCGGCCCTTGTTAACTCAGGAGGCATCCATATCTTCGCCAACGGCAGCAACTTCTCGACCGCCTTGGAGATCGCCTCGAACACCTTGGAGATCGCCTCGAACACCTCGAACGCCTCGATCGCGTCAATCGCAGACAAATCAGGCACTGCAGACACGTTCCTGCATTTCGTTTTGATTTGGGCCATTGCAAGTTCGGTTGTGCCGTTCATTATGTGAGGCGCGAGCGACGGTAGTAGTTAGAAGGATTAGCCATCTGTGCCCAATAGGAACACTTTTTGGGTAGACTCCTCGGCTTGCAAGGGGTGAACATGGCATGGGGACGGTCATGGAGCGCACAGTTGAGCTGAACTTTCTTATGTTTGAGGATTTTCCACACTGATTGTTTTTCTCGCGAGAGCCGTCCGGAGAGCACAAAGACAGCACGTTCAGATTAATGTTTGTTTCGTGCGGTTGTTCTAGTTGTGGCCAGCTTTCGCAGGAGTGATGAAGAGGTATGCTGGACATTACCTTTATCTCGCAGATCATCCCGACTGCGCTATGGAACCTGCTCAGCGCCACGCAGCGTAGGTTTTCCAGGTGACTTTTGACCACCTGGCGCACCCTACAAAACACAATACAGTATGTGAGAGGAGGAAAAGGTACCCATTCCTCTTCCTTTCCCTGGCTTTCCCTTATTTGGGCCTCCTGGGCAGTCCTCGTCGCCACCGTTGTATTCGCCTCGAAATCCTGGTCGGAACGCACCCCGGGAGAGGTCCGGGGAGTAGCAGTATTGGTATTTTTCGATATCCCCAGTACGGGGACGATTGTTTGGGTATTTTTGGGATATAGTTTCATTCTCTTGAATTGTCCGCACAAAATCCCACTGTAGGGGACAGGCCCGACCTAACTCTGGGCCTCCCAGATGGGGTCCGAGCAGATGGGGTCGGAGGATCGCGCCGCATCGCCGATGCATCGGCGATGCGGCTCGATGTAGGGCCCGATTTGCTCCACGTCGACGTCGCCGATGCATCGCCGACGTCGCCAGTGCATCACCGATGCATCGGCGATGCGGCGAGACCCTCCGACGCCATCTCTTCGGAGGAGGCCTCTACATCTGAGTGTTGTCCACATCCGCGGGCGAGGGGACCGCATCGAAGCAGGGGTAGATCAGCGTCCCGACGCCGGCAGCCGGTAGGAGGTCACCGATGTAGCTGTACAACGCAGAGGCATCAGCCGTCACCGTGCCAGCGGCACGCCAGGGCGTGTTACATCCCTCCCCGAAACCACAGGCAAGTTTCTCCCGAGACGCGGCGGCTCCCCAGGACCCAACAATTCGAACGTTCGCGCCGAAACTGGCGACCGCAGACACGAAAGCCTGGCCCCGCGGGCCGCGTTCCGCGCGTCGACCAACCGTAGAAGCTCGCGTCTGATTTCGAGGCGGCCTTTGGATCGGGGAACGTATTCGTCGCCGAGGCTCTCCGTGGTCCGTAAAGCGCCTTCGTTCCTCGTTTCGCGTTCTTGCTGGCAGTGCACGGCTGTGTCTGCTCTGGTCCACGTCTGCCGCCGGGCATCGTCGGGCGGGCGGGCGTGCCACTTTGTGCCCCTCGTCGGCGTCGTCTTTCCGCCGTCGCCCTCCTCGCTTTCGTCGTCTTCCCTGTCCTCCACGGGGCTGATTCTCGGCAGCGAGCGAGGGGGTGAAGTGAGAAGGAGCAGGCCATTTCTGAAGGCTGCGGGGCTTCTCAGAAGCTTTGTGACGTTCGGAGAAGTTGTGACTGCGTCCTCGGGGGAGGCTTAGAAAACTTCTCGGACGGCCGAAGCACTTCCGAGCCTTCTGAGAAGGCCCGCCCCCTCTCACTTCTCCCTCTGGCGCGCCGCCTAGATTCGAAGTCACCCCACGGCCGTTCAATCGAGTCCGCAGACAGGGAGTCACACGGCGGGCACCCAGGGGCAAGTTAGCATGCAGATTTCGCCGCCAGTGAGTGTGCAGGAGGAAGGGGGAGGAGGAGGAGGAGGAGGAGAGAGGGGACCGACGGTCCCGAGGAGGAGAAGGACCAGAGTAAACGCAAGATCCATCAGCGATGTTGCAGTGTACTGATGCGTCCCAGGCCCCCTCACACGTACCTACACAAAGTCCCTTTCACCACCAGGAGCCCCTCTTGGAAGGCCAGCGCCACACGGGTCTGCCACGTGGGTCTGCCATTTTGGCGCCAAGGAACGAAGTCAAGCCGATTTTGGCCCGAAAAACGGCCCCGCCAAACGCGTCCAGAAGTTCTGGCCTTCAACCGGAGCACGGTGATGCATAATCGGGGATGACAGGTATAGAACCGTGCTTCACTCTGGGTTCAGGGGAACTTCGCCCGCTGGTTTCTGTGCCCTTGGCTGCCCATCAGCTCGAGCCAGGGAGCTCGAGCCAAGGCTGCGGATCCCAAGCCTGCAAGTGGAACTCGAATTTCCATCCCGAATCTCCGACCCGCCGATAATTGGCTTGCTGCTTGCTGGCAAACAAAATAGCTTCGGGAAGCATACCCGACAGGCAATCATACCCACCAGCGGTTACTCGAGATCTTCCGTAGGTACGCGCTGCCTGGCACGACTGCGCACACCCTGCACTGGCACAACTGGCACACCTTGCCTGGCCATGCTGCGGCCATGCCGTGGCCATGCCGATGCGGGATGCCTTGCGGGACGACTCGCGGGGTGATTCGGAGAGGTCCTCGCGGGAAGGCGGTTACCCTCCTGACTTGCGCAAGTCAGGGGGTATGTTTTCCATTGATTCGGGGAAGTCCTCGCGGGAAGGCGATTGCCCCTGTGACTTGCGCAAGTCTGGGGGTAAATTTTTCCAATGACTCGGGGAGATTCGGCAGGAAGGCGATTATCCCCTGGACTTGCGCAAATCAGGGAGGTAAGTTTTCAGGAATTCCCTGCAACAGAAATACCTCTTTGATTTGCGCAAGTTCGGGTTGGTAATTGTTCAGGAACTTCCTGGACATATACTTCCTGACTTGCGCAATCCCTGAAGCATTGCCCCTCTGACTTGCGCACTTCAGGAGGGCAATCGCCTTCCCGCGAGGACCTCACCGAGCCAATGGAAGAAATCCCCCTTGACTTGCGCAAGTCACAGGGGCAATCGCCTTCCCGCGAGGACCCCCCGAGTCAATGGACAAAATACCCCCTTGAGTTGCGCAGGTCAGGGGGGTACTCGCCTTCCCGCGAGGAGCAATAACCCCCCAGACTTGCGCAAGTCAGAGAGGTAATCACCTTCCCGCGAGGACCTCCCCAAGTCATCCCGCGGGTCGTCCCGCAAGGCATCCCGCATCGGCATGGCGATGGCATGGAAAATTGACCCCCCTGACTTTCGCAAGTCATGGGGGTAATTAATCGCCTTCCCGCGAGGACCTTCCCAAGTCACCTTGCGGGTCGTCCCGCAAGGCATCCCGCATCGGCTTGGCGATGGCATGGACACATGACCCCCTTGACATCGCCTTCCCGCGAGGAACCATTGCCCCCCTGACTTGCGCAAGTCCGAGGGGTAATCGCCTTCCCGCGAGGTTGCCATGCCGATGCCATGCCGTTGCCACGCCGTTGCCATGCCGTGGCCGTGCTGTGGCGATGCCGTGGTCATGCCGTTGCCATGTCGTTGCGAGGCCATGCCGTGGCTATGTTGTGGCCGTACCGTGGCCATGCCGCGGCCATGCCGTGGCCATGCCGTGGCCATGCCGTGACCATGCCGTGACCATGCCATGGCCATACCGTGGCCATGCCGCGGCCATGCCGCGGCCATGCCGCGGCCAGGCCGGGGCCATGCCGTGGCCATGCCGTGGCCATGCCGTGACCTTACCGTGGCCATGCCGTGGCCATGCCGAGACTTTGCCGTGGCCCTGCCGTGGCCATGCCGTGGCCATGGCGTGGCCACGCCGTGGCCTTGCCGTGGCCGTGCCGTGGCCATGCCGTGGACTTGCCGTGGCAATGCTTTGGACATGCCGTGGCCATGCCTCTGCCACGCGATTACCTAACGTATGTCGCGCAGTTGCCGTGCTATTGCCATGCGCTTGTCATGCGGATGTCTTGCTGTTGTCATGCGGTCAGAGCGTTGTTTCCTTAATCATGCCACGCTGCTGCCAGGCTTGATAAGTGCATGCTATTCGCCAGGGTCGCGTTCAAGCCACGCTATCCAGGGTCTTCTTCGGGGGTCACCATCCGTCAAACTCCTTATCAGTTTTCGGGAGGCGAGACGTCTGCCTATGCTATTATTCTTATGCTATTATTATTATTACTACTACTACTACTACTGCTACTGCTACTGCTACTACTACTACTACGACGGCGACTACTACTACTACTACTACTACTACTGCTACTACTACGGCTACTACTACGACGACTACTACTACTACTACTACTACTACGGCTGCTAATACTACGACTACGGCTACCATTGTTACGACTATTGTTACAACTACGGCGACTACGTTTATTATTACTCCTACCCCTACTACTACTACTACCTACTACTACTACTACTACTACTACTACTGCTACTACTACTAGTACTGCTAGCACTACTATTACTACTACTCGTACTACTACTACTACTACTACTACTACTACTACTACTACCACTACTACTGCTACTACTACTACTACTACTACTACTATTACTACTACTACTATAACTTTTACTAGTAGTAGTAGTACTACTACTACTTCACTACTACTACTACTACTACTACTACTACTACTATTGCTACGACTACATCTACTACGATTACTAATCCGACTACTGCTCCTACTACTACTACTACGACGACTACTACTACCACTACCGCTACCACTACTAGTACTACTACTTCGATTACTGCTACGACTACATCTACTACTACTGTTACTACTGCTACTATCACTCCGCCTACTGTTGCTACTACCACGGCTATTACTACTAATGCTATTACTGCGACTACGGCTACTAGTACTACTATTACTACTACTACTACTACTACTACTACCACTACTGCTACTACTACTACTACTACTACTACTCCCACTATGACTACCACTGCTACGGCGACGACGACGACGACGACGACGACGACGACTACTACTACTACTACTACTACTATTACTACTACTACTACTACTACTACTACCAATACTACGACTACTACTACGACTATTACTAGTACTACTACTACTACTACTACTACTACTACTACTACAACTACTATTACTACTACTACTACTACTACTACTACTACTACTACTACTACTACTACTACTACTACTACTACTACTACTACTACTACTACTACGTATACGAAATTTATTGCGAAGGCCTGACGGCCGGTGCCGCCGACCCTGTTCGCAATGCGCAGCAAGAGATTACGAGGTTGCTCAAGGTCGGCTTGGCTGGAGCCCAGGGGAAGAGGAGTCCCAGGGGGGGGCCCTGAGGGGGGGGCGTCGTATCTGACCCGGGGGGGGGGTCGACACCCCCCCCCCCCTCCCGGCGGGGGAGGGATCAAAGGGAAGGGGCTTCCCTTCGACTCAATTACGAGGTTGCTCAAGGTCGGCTTGGCTGGAGCCCAGGGGAAGAGGAGTCCCAGGGGGGGGCGTCGTATCTGACCCGGGGGGGGGGTCGACACCCCCCCCCCCCTCCCGGCGG